TCTAACAATGTAGCCGCTATTCCAGAAGAAGCAACTGCTACCGCAATGTCGGAATATCGCACGAACTGTATCCAAAATTAATGACATGAGGAATGTTTTACCAGTCCCACCGGGGGCGTCCAGGAAAAAAAAGCCACCATTTTCTTCATCAATCGCTTTCGTTAATGTTAAACTTCCTTCTGTTGCGGATTCAATAGAGGTACATTAGTTTGAACTGATTGGTCTAATTCATGTCGATCATATTCACGTTCACGTTCCAATTCTCGATTAAATGCGTTATTTATTTCACGATCAGGAGCTGGCATTCCTAATCTGACTAACAAACTACCGCAGGTATGGTAACATATGTCTTCGATCAAGAGCAAAGCCTGATTATGCATTTCATCATTCACCTCAAGATCGGGATTTCTTGAACTGACACGAATTCTATGTAAAATGTCTTCTGACATGTTATCCTTATATTTGTTCCACAGGTCACGTGGATTCGATGGTATATTGATAACAATATTTATTTATTATATTTGAATTTATTATATTTGAAATTTCAAATATTTGAAATATTTGAAAAAAAAATTTAAAAAGAAATCAATATCACTCAAACTGTCGAACTGTCAACAGTTTGAAACAGCATTTACAATTTTATTATTTTTGCTAAAATTAGTGGATTTTTCCAATATTTTATAATGTATTCTGCTATTCGGAGCGGAGACGATTCCAACAAATCAAAGATAATTAAAATCGGTTCAGCCGTTCTTGAGTTATGAGTGGTCTAACTAACACGACTTTCTTTTATGTATATAGATTATGTATATAGATTATATAGCTATGTATAATGATTTATTAGGAACCTTAGCCTTATCGATAAATAAATATCGAACATTTATTTTATTTCAGTAAAACTATTAAACAAATAGAAAATTTTATAAAGTGTAATTTGATTTCAAAAGATAACCATGACAGGCAAATATTTCTCGTAATGTTGATGACTCTATTTAAATATCTATATTATACTTCTGATGTAATTTTCAAGAATTATTCATAAATTCGAAAAAAAGAATTGTATTATTACTTTTAATTTCATTAACATAAATTTGTTTATTTTGACATCTAAAATTTTTTTCTCTTAAAATATGTTAACGAGTTTTTATAAATATTTTTATTTTGACAAGCTACTTTATTATGTAAATGAGGTTCACGTTTTTTCACACATCAAAGTAAAAAATTAGAAATTGGTAAAAGCATAGTAATGTATTTTTTTTAAAATAAAAATTAAATAAAACTAAATGGCAAAAATCTTATAAAAATTATAAAAACAATGTTGTCATAAAAAAGTGCCCCCTAAACTAACAGTGATGCCAAGTTAATTTAATGAAAACAAAATATAGGCGTAAATCAACAACATTAATAACGCTAGCAAGAATGACAATACCTATACTAGGTGTACACTAGGGTGCCATTAATTTTTGAAAGTCGAAAAACTACGATCTGAACCAGATCGGTTCATTTTACTATAAAAATCATCAGAGTAAAATTTTAGTTTAGTTGGATAAGTGGAAATGGTGCCCCAAGAGCCCAAAGATTGGAAAATAACAATTTTTTCCATAAAATTCATCTTTGATTGTTTATGTCTCCGACATATTTAATTTTACATAAAAACTGTCTTCCTAAAAGTTATAGGCCTATTAAAAATAAACAATAAAAATAAACAAGCTTTAGCAAGGAACAAAACCACTAAAAAAGTTCCTGCCTTATAACGCATAAAGAGCGAATAAAATTAAACAAATAAACTGCAGTACTGACCCCAAATGTGAGCGCCCACAACAAATTTAATTCGCAAGATAATTAAATTTACTTTGGCCAATCTCGCTGTTTGGAGACGAGGTTGCTGTGGAAGAACGAATTGAAAAAAAATTGAAAAAAAAATTAAAAATATAAATAAATAAATATAAATATATTTTTTTTATTTATATTCAGTATTAAATTTTACTGCGAAATAAAAATTATCAATATGGCATTATTTATTGAAATTTTTTAATTTTTTTTCCCCACAAAACACATCAAGCACTTATGTACTTTATTTCTATTAAACGATTTTTCAAAGAATATACTACAAATATTGTTATATAATATTTTTAATTTCAATTTGTAATAAAATTCTACATGAAACCTAAAAATTTCAGGACGATATTGTGTTTACAAGTATTTTTTCAACACTAATTTATCCTTCACTTCACACTAAACACATACAAACGATTTTTCAGTAAAAAAAGGAACACATAAGAAACCTCTCCAAATCGTAGATGATAAGGTTAAAAGGATATACGATTTGTAAAAGAATAACCAATATATAAAAAAACAATACAATACGTTTCTTAAAGTATTATTTGAATGTTATTACGTTTTTAATGGAGGACCAATTTACATGTTGCTAATTTCTAATAACAATAACTTGTATGTAGTCAGGGATGAAAGCTTCAGCCTTAAGTCCATCAAACTTCTAACGTCTCCACTCACAATTTAATTGATAGATCAATGTATAAATATAAGTTGTGGGTTAAAGAGAAAAGGTGTTAAGTTTATTTTTCAAAATTTACAGCAGAGTCAAAAAATCTAAAAAATTTTTTGTTTTTAGATATATTTTGAAATCTTGAAAAGGATTTTTATGCTTATAATCCTGTTTCAAAATAAAAAAATCCAATATTTTTTGATTACATATAAAATATTTCTTAAGCACTTTCTTATTCATTAATTTTGCGTTTATGAAATATTTTCTCGAATAAAATATATCTATAACTTTCTAATTAAATATAGCATTTTTTCTTCATAGCATTTTTTTATTCACTTTTTTAGTTTGTGGATTGGATTAAGCGCCTTTTTCCACCCCCCACGATATATCCATTATTAAAGCATCATGATTGTTTAATAAAATAATATTTGTATTTTAATTATTTGAAATTAAAAATAAAAAATTTAAAATTAAAAAACATAAGGTTCGATAGAGTAAAGAAGCTTTTGCGTTTTTACAAACCCGACTGATTGCCAAATGTCATCTTTACTGAAGAGAAATATTACATAAATGAGTTACTTAAATGAATGCAACGAATATTCAAACAGAAGAATCACGTTTTAATTACTATTAAAAAAAATAAATTAGGCTCGATGGAGCAACATCATTGTTATGTTTTCACGCAACCCGGCCAATTGCCGAAACTGAAATCTTTTTTGAAGAAAAATATTTTGCAATTGAACACTTTATAAACAAACGAAATGATAAAGTTTACTAAACAAAGTGGTGAATTAATTACTTTTAAAAGAATTTATACCATGCTTCATGCGCACTATGTTTCGACAGAGCCCTTGAAATTAAACCGGCTAAGAAAGCTGTGATTTATCTGCGTTTAGATCTATTTAAGCATAAAAATTCGCTCAATTGTTAATTCTTAACTCAAACAAGCTGTTTCAAGTTTTCTTTCGAATTGGCATATGTACTATAAATTTCTCAAACAGTTTACGAGAGCTGCTATATATATTTCTGGCCTAGGCAACACTAAGTGTTGCCAGGTGCAATCTGACATTTCCATTGAAAAGGTTGACATTTTTAAGCATAACATCACTCAGAACGTGTTGTCATTTAATTGCGAATTGTTTTATTTACAGAGACTTGAAAAATTCATTTCTGCCAAAAAATGAAATTAACACGTTTTCGTGTGATCATTTTTCACAACTGTCGACGTGGATTAATTTTGACTTAAATACTTGTATAGCGATGAAGCACCATCTTATAGCACTGTGAAAAACTGGTTTAATCAATTCGAATTCTGAATTCTGTGAAGGTCGTACAAAAACAGCCGTTGTGCCAGAGAACATTGATGCCGTCCGTGAACTGATAATGCAAGATCGTCATGTGATATACCATGAGATAGAGGCATCCTTGGGCATTTCTCCCACCAGCATACATTCGATATTGCATGAACACCTGGCCGTAAAAAAGGTTTGTTCTCGTTGGATCCCGCACAATTTAACAATCGCTCAGAAAAGGCTCGTGACAATTGGTGCAAAGAAATGTTGAAAAAATACGTACGCGGTGCTTCGTCACAGGTGACGAGTCATGGATCTATGCGTAAGAGCCCGAAACAAAACAACAATCGACCGTGTGGGTCTTGGAAGCCGAGCCAAATCCAACGAAAATTGTTCGTGGAAGAAGCACTTCGAAGCAAATGGTCGCCTGTTTTTTCGGAAAAACTGGTCATGTGGCGACTGTTCCGCTTGAGCAACGAAGGACGGTCACTTCTGAGTGGTACATCATAATTTGTTTGCATAAAGTCTTCAGAGAACGAACGAATTCGAAAAACGAACAAGAGAAGACGAATCATTGTTTACCATGACAATGCGAGGTGTCACACATCGGCTTAAACCAGCGCCTTTTTGACCGATCAAATCGTCGAATTGATAGGTCATTCGCAGTACAGCCCTGACTTGGCACCCAATGACTTCTTTTTATTTCCGCACATCAAGAAAAAAATGTTTGATCAACGATTTTCGTCGCAAGAACATGCTGTTGAAACGTTCAAAAACCATGTTTTGGAGGTGTCTCAATCGGAATGGAAAAAGTGCTTCGACAATTTTTTATGTGATGTTTTAGTCTGAATAAGTTAAACACAGGTTCACGTCATATGAAAGGAACTATAGCACCCTCTTCTTACAACGTTTCATTATTATTGAATCCCTCATAACTGAATATTTAAACTGGTGTTATTTTATTTGTAGCAGTCATACATACGATTTTTACAGCTTAGAACTAAGCGGGTCCAGAAGGGAGATCAAGTTTATTTTATAAAAATAAAGGAATAAGCCCAAATCAATTAAGAAAATATTTCATTGTTCAAAAAATAATATAAGGACTTATTATTTAGTTATGTTTTCAATATCTATGATAATAGCTGATTGTAAGCATTTTTTTGATAATGTATAATTATAAAAATTTTAAATAAAAAACTTACCGTTTTAACCACTTGATTTAATATTGCCGCCTTATCTGGTTTTGTTGAGGTCATATCCCCACGCTTATTGAGCTGTAAAAACTCTGAGAGTTGCTCAATATAATTATTTTCCAATTCACGTCGACGTTTTTCATTGTTACACTTATTAATTTGTGATTGGGGCTGTAAACATATAACAGCAATGATATAATTATTTAACATCAGTAATAATATTTATTTAAATAAATCGTAATTGTTATTTTATGTGAGATATATATACTTTGTTTTTCCTTTGTATATATAGTTCACATTTTTTATTCATATATAATAACATGGGGTTTCAATGATTGAATACAGTAGATGTGTATTAAAAAATAACATAATGATTATCCAATATTATGAAATTAAATCCTGTACTTTAAACAACATTCTTAAGGAATCTTTGACAGACACTTGATTGTAATATCTTAAGACTATAATGATGAATAATTAATCGTAAATGAAAATCGATTAAGTTGTAGAAATTGGGATCAGTAAAACTGCAGTGATCAAATAAAATATTTTTAATGAGAAAACTTTGCACTTTTAAAATAAGTGAATTTGTGACTATTATTTTTAATAGCAAACTTGTTATCCTTCATAAAGAGGTTTTTTCGAACAGTAGTAAAATACAATAACAAAAATTTTATTTTTTAACATATATTATTTTAATTAATTGAATTTTTTACTGACCATACAGCTGTTTCGAGTATTGCTAAATACCCATCATCAGTTGTCCTAGATATAATTCTTAGATTTAATTATTCATAAATAATTATTTTTGAGACTGCAAGTACCAGGAATCGAATTCGGGTCCTGCCAAATGTGAAGCTCAGAATCAGCGCACTTTAACCAACTCATCCAAAGCCGTACTTGACTTTTTTGTTCGCATATTTTTCTGGAGTTTTGTTACTTTTGCTTATGAAAGTTTTTATTGACAATTTTACTTGCTGTGTTTACATTAAAACGAAATCATAAACCAGCTGTAGAATAATTGAATTAATTAATTAATTATAATTTTATTTTCAATTGTTAAATTTCAATACTATTCTGTTCCTGAATTTATTTCAAAAATTAGAGTTAAAGTATTTTAGATTTTATTGTATAATTACTGAAATTATTTTATTGTACATTAATTACTTAAGACAAAGTAGAACAGGTTATATTTGGACTTAATCGTAGATAAATATTTGTATAGGAATCGCTGAAGCTACACAAATAGTATGGCAAATATATCGTATTCAAAAATTGCTTTAATTCTGAAAAAATTTTAGTGAAGTGATCTATTTTAACAAAAAATTTAATCAAAGTTTATTTTAAAAAAAATTTGAAGATAATTAATTATTATATTAAAGGTTATTTGATTATACACAAATTCATAAAATTTTAGCTGTTATTGAAAATAAAAACGAAAGGCTTCATGAAATTTAATCTTAAAATTGTAAAGTTCTGCAAAACAACATCCAAGTGCTCTAAAATATTTTTTTTATAGTGCTATACGTGTGATGAAATTGTATATAATTAGGTATATACTTTAATATGAATATTGATTGCTTTAATAGAAAATTATACAGAAAGTTCAATATTCATTACATTTAACATCACTCCTTCAGTCCTTGTTGTTTTTGATGGGTATAATTTTTTCCATGCAATAAGTTAGTAGGTGATGCTTTAAATATTGTATATATTAGATCATTAATTAAAGTTTTAATATTTTTTAGTATAAGCCAGCACAGAATGTCATTCACATTAAGTATCACTGAATCACTTCTATATGGTTGTGTAGCGTTTAGCAAAGCTTCAAACACTACTATTCACCAGCTAGAAATTGCACAAATCCAGGCTCTGAGAAGACTTTTCAAAGTTCCATGGCACATTAGGACGAATAACATCCTCAGGGACATCAAGATTGATCCCATCAAAAAATACATAAAGGATAGAGTCCTGAAATTATTTTCGAAAACTGACAGACTTACCAACACCGCGTTATCAAATCTCAAAATGGTTATAGGCTACTCGGGGAGGTATGCAAATCTGAGGTCAATTATTGCTTAGTCTGATGAAGTGATAAACAATAATCTAGTCAAGATGTAGAGAGGGGTTTTGAAAATACCTCGAGTTAAAAAAGAGTATAAGTGTACTAGCTCAAAACAGCTTCAACATAATGAATCAACAATCAACAGCTGTCAACAATTCCACCAATAAAGCTATGCGTGAGTCACTTTCCAGAAAAGGTTTAGAAAAAGAGATTGAAAATTGTAGTTACTATGCTAAAATCAAAGAATATTCAGTCAAAGTTAGGCAGCACAACTTAAATTGAACACGTGAGTAAAGGCACGCCACAAGGAGGGGTTATTTGACCGCTACTGTGGCTGCTGGTCGTGGATAATATTCTCAATATAGTAGATAAGATATGTGTGAAAGCAGAAGCGTATGCGGACGACGTGGTTATTCTTGTGACAGGTATGTTCCCTAACATAATAAGCGATATTATGGAAAGGACCTGGGTCAAGACAAGTACCTGAGCCACAGATTCTTTACTAGGTATTAATCCAGAAAAAACTGAAAAGATGCTGTTTACTATCAAAACCAAAATACCGGCTTTCAAGTTACCTTCACTAAACGGGCAACAATTAAAACTATTGGGAAAAACCAAATATCTAGGAAGTCATGTGCAACTTTCAGGTTAATATGGCCTACCTATAGTAAAAATAGATCCTTGGAACTCATCAAAAGAGACCGCGTGAACACTGCAAGGCTTACTGCAAGTCTTTCTGGTCATTGGTGTGTAGGAACCCACGCAGAGAAACTGCGCATTCCCCATAATCCTCACTGCAGTAGTTGCGGAAACCCGCAGAAGAAAGGAAACATAATTTTGGCGTCCGGAAGATATAGGTTTTTAGAATGATACTTCTTTGATAGTTTATCAGACTGTTCATCGGTGAAGACAAGAGACTTATTAAATTATGTAAATTCGGCGGAATGGATTTAGTCTCTTCTATACTAGTGTTCTTGCGAAGAATGTGGTAGCAAAACAGCGAAAAATCGCTAATTGAGGTACATGGAAGTTATCTAATGGTTGCAACTGTGACCAACCAAACCGTGGGTGTTTTTGTGGTTCTTATTTGTGCAGAGTATATTGTCTTAAATTAAAAAAAAAATAAAACGATTATATGCTTTAAAATAGTACTGTATATCATAACAATAAACCCATATTAACATTTTAAAACAACTGAGATAGTAGAGTTAACGACTTAATAGTTACGACTTAACATAATAGACTTATAGTATAGCATACTCACCAAATTGGCTTTTGAATCTGTTTTCCTCCTTAATTTACGATTCGATGTCGCTGAATTGGCTGAGATCGGCGATGCCACCGCATTCATAATGACAGAGCGTTGCAGTGCGGCTGCAAAATTTGCAGCTGAGGCAGCTTTTTGTTGCAGACTTGCTACGTTATTGTTATTATTATTGTTGTTATTATTATTATTATTATTTATATTAATAATATTATTATTATTTGTATTATCTAGTTGTTGTTGTCGCAATGTAATTATATTACTGCTGATATTATTTATATTTGCGTTATGACTGTTGCTTTGATATATGCTTGCAACGCTTGTATTTGTAGCAACAAGTAAGCTAGTTGCAGCACTAGCAGCTGCAGCCGTTGTTGCTGCACCCCCTCCGCCAATTAGGGGAGGAGGATTATTACACGCTACAGGCGTTAAACCAACTAATGAGGCTGTTACCACTGTACCTGCGTTTGATATTGTAACAGCAGCCGTGGCAACTGCCGGTGATGGGACCGGTAAATCACAAACCGTGGGTGCTGATGTGGTTGATTTGATGGCAGAAGATTTTGACAAGGTTGAGGATGTTGATAATGGCGACAAGGGTGATGGTGTCCTTGATAATAACAATTCTGTAGCTTGCGAGTTTGCTGTTGTAGTTGTAATTGTTGTGGAATTGTTATGATTGATTTTTGTGCTGTTGTTGTTTTTACTGCTGTTTGATGCCCAATGTTCTGGTGAGTCACATGGGCCAAGCCTATAAATATACGATTAAAAAAGTTTATTGTAATGAAATTGCAAAATATAAATTTTTTGTATAATTACAAATTTTTTAAAGAATATATTATCAATAGACACTTCAATTAATGGTTAATTCTAATAGAGTTGAAAAAATAATAAGTGTATTATTGAAAATACTTCCAACGTTATTTACTGAAGCAATTAAATCATATATAAAATATGTCAAAGTACAACTGTAGTTCAATACTACTAAATTGAATTCAAATAAATTATAAGGTTTGCTGTCTTTACTTGGGCAAGCAGGCATTGTTCACATAACAATCTAATACAGATTTCCCAATTTGATACTTTAACCAACTAAGCTCTACGCAAGTAATCTATCACCTTAACCAGTTATTTGTATATATTTTATAATTGTTTTTCTTAGTTATAAATTTGGCACATAAAATAATTTCTTCAAGGCACTTTAACCAAAGAAAATACTTGTATGAATTCAGATTTTGAATTTGTTCTTTATTGAAATATCTTAAGCTTTTATATAAAAATCTTAGCATTACGCTTATGCTAAAAGGGGAAATGCACCTAATTCCCACGATTTGTTATCTAATGGACCTGAACACTCAACACCAAAGGCACTTCTGCGAATTCTATGCCTTATCTACGCTCACACTATGTCTACTTAATGCAGTTAGCTTAGCAAGCTGGTATATGTGTTTTATCATATACCAACTTGCTTTACAAATTTGGTGAATTAAATGTGTTATCACTTATGCCATGTGCAAACTCATATTGCACCTGTGGGAACAACATAATTATCGCAGGTGCATTTCTATTGCTGCAACTCTCAAAGATCGACCGATAAAAGAAAACTAATCAACCTTACACAGTGTCGTTGAAGATGATCATATGTCTGGCACGCTGATAGCGTGCGAATATTTATTTTTGAGAACCAGCAACATTGCTATGAATATATGATAACACAAATAAATCCAAAGAAAAACACAAAAATAAAAATTTGATTTAGATATTTATACAAATAATAATATAATGCAGATAATTACACAAACTATAATTAACAATAAACTTTTTTAAGTGGACCAGTAACTAAAAAGCACCAAATATTGTTATTGCAAGTAAAATGTTTTTTTTGTGCATACATTACATGTAGGTATACGTCCATTTTCTCTTTTTAAAAAAAGATTGAAGGCAGAAAAATTAAAAAAGGAATAATGAGAATAATGATTACACTAGCAATAATAGTATAAATAGCAATGAAGAAATAAATAAGAAGGACATTTAAATTAAGCTTGTATAATTCTACAGAAAATAAATATTTTTTATTTTATTGTACATTTTATGAAAACTAATAAAAGGAAAATTAATTCAAAAGGAGATATGAAACCAAATTGGGAATAAATTAATTATAAATTATATACGATTTTTTCAAAATATTTTCTTCTTTATTCTCAAACAGATCATAAAACTACAATGAGGTGTTTTAGTCATTGTTATTGTTCAATCATGAACATAAATTTATTATTATTTAATTATTTTAATTATATTATATTATTTTAGTTTATTATTATCGCTTAAAAACCTTATCACTTATTCTTAGAATAGAACTAAGGAAAAATATAGGTAAATAGTAACATTTTGTCATAATAAAATGTATTTATAAAAACAATAGGAGGAAAATCCCTAGTGTTGGGACTTCCGTCCTTTTTCAACTTTTTTTTACCTTTTTTGCCAACAATAATAAAATGTAATACAGTCCATTAAAAATTATATTATTATAACCTTGATGTAAAATTAATCTTAAAATATTTTTGTATAAATACAGATCAGCATCTTACAAATGCTCAAACCGTTCAGTAGTTTTATTTCTGAACAGTTATACTGTATTTTTGTAACTTATCTCAAACAGTGCTTCTAAAACAGTGTTATTATTTTGATGCCTTTAATACCTAATGCTCTCTTCCCTAAATATATTTTTTTATTGATGCTTTATTCGTTCTCTCTTAAAAATCTTATATACATTTTTTTTAAAGTAAATGACTTAACTTTCCTGAAATTAACTTACTTTAATACATGACTCTTTTTGATTTTGAGTTTTGCTATATAATCGAAAACTTTTAAGTGTATTGGACTCTATTGTCAGTTTTAATCGAGATCTCTATGCTGTATACAATGATCTTAAAGTAATGTATATAGAACATCTTTAAATTTTTTTCATGCCATTTGTACTTTAAACTATGCTCTTAAGTTAATGCACATATGCAGCATTTCGTTTATGATAATAAATATGAGTATAACCTTGGAAAAAAAAATGGAAATGGATAGAGCAGCAAACACAGTATTCTTGCAGTTTACGCATTATAGATAGGAAGGGCGGGTTATAAAGATGATACCTAAAAATCTATTAATATTTATAAATCTATTGTGTCGTTTAAAATTCAAAGGTTATAAAGCCATCTGTTAAATAACCGTTTCATGAAGTAGAGGTCTTGTAACAGGCTGAGATCCTCTGAAAAGTAGGTTCCTAATATGTTTTGTTAACGTTGTGCATTTGTAGAGCTATGATGAAGCTCTACAAATGCAGTTTCTACGCCTTTTCTACAGCTGTGGGAAGAATAATTGTTTTCAATACTCAAGTTTCCACCGTGATTTTCTTAACAAAAATGATTCGTCTATATAAATACTATCTAGTTTGGTTAGATCTTTCAGTTATTCTAAATGTGTTCATTTATGACAACTTCAGTAGTTAAGATAAGATAATTTTCTTAAGTATCGTTACCATATATAATTTTATAATTCCCATAACCTTAACACGAACACATAAGCATGTGTACATAAACAAACTGTCATTTATTTATTAGTTTAGAAAAGAACAATTATGTTAAATTAAAATACAATTGCTATTTTTTAAGGAGTACTTCAGATACTTAATGTGCTAATTTATTTATGTTACATTAAAATTCGTTTAAATTCATAAGCGTCTTATGGCTTGGTTCGTAGGTATTTTAAATATTTTGATAGCTTTGTAACATAAAACTGACTAATTTGTCCAAAATTTCTTGACTTGAAATTGCTCATAAATTAGCATAATTTATTATTATGTAACTTCCTTATTTACGTGAAAGGTTTAAAATTAAGTACCTACGGATTGATGAATTGCAAAAAGAACCCAACAACAATAACCTATAATTGAAGGTATAAACCAGATACCTAGCTTTCATGACTAATTAATATTTATCAAAACAAGTTAAAAGTGGTCTTTAAATAAATAACATTGTTGGCGATGCTTCTCTTTTATCCGAAAAAAAGTAGTTGTAAGCTTATCGGTTCCTATCAATTTGACTGCTTTGTTTAATTTACTGATTTTACTTGTTTGATATACCAGAGTATAATCGTGATTGAAGAATTTGAAAAGAAAACTCATTCAATTTTTTTTAAACCATTCTAACAAACTTTTAGAATGTTTAAGCGAGTACTTATTCAGTTTTAAGTCAACAAATGTGATATCCAATGCACATTTCACTTTCTGGTACCTTTATCACTTTGCAATATTTTCCGAAAACTGTCAAGGGAAATACTTATAATCTGATAATTTTTGTCCGATCAAAATGTTTTTTTATTTTGTATATATTTAAAATATAATAACAATAATAATTTTTGATCCTTCATTATGTTTCCCATTAACTCATATTACAGGTATTGTATATTATGGCGCTGAGTCCCAATATATTATATGTAATTGGCTTTGCACTCTCGCAAATGGATTATGATAATATATCCAATGTAGACTAATTTTTAAATGAGGACACACTAGATGAACTTTTTTAAATCTTGCATGAATTATGTTTTATTGTGAATGTTTATAACATAGTGGAATGAAAACAAGAAATTGGACATAATTGGTTTAAACATATTTTCAACTGCCACATAAATGGTTGAACATTTCAATTTGTTTTTTGAAACTAATTGCAATTTGTGGAAAAAATATATTTGAATTAAAGTGCGTATTATTTAAAGAATTCTAATTAAAACACGACATTTATTTCTTAATAATTAAATAATTAAAGTCGACCAACGGTAAAAATGTTTAAAAAAAATTTTAATTGTGAAAATAGCTGATATTTTTAGAATGCAATCGTAAAATATTATTCATAAGATCGAACAAATTTTCACCGTGAAGCACATCTATTTCATATTTGCGCGTACTTACATACTTTATAGAATATAGCCTGATACACCATATATTATTATTTCACTAAGTTTCAAGAACATTACCACATTATTGTATAGACCATATACCATACATAATATATACTAGTTTAAATAAGTAACTTAATCTTAATCGTATATACAATATATATTCCTTAATCGTATATTGTGCTATCTTCTCATTAATTTTTTTGGTTTGTTGTTTAAGAAACGATAAAAGTCTATGCGAACCTCGTTAACCATTTTAATACTTAAGCATTTTTTTTAATTAAACCTAGAAATATAAATTAAAAATGCAACAATAAATGTAGTCAAATCTGTTGTAAAGCATCTACAACCAGAGCTAATATAAATATATTATAATTAAAATTCTGCTATATTACGCTTGATATACACCCACTTCACACCGATACCCAACTGGCAGTCATTTTCACGCAGAAATGGCAGTATTAGAAAGCAGGCAGAAATTAATGGTGCAAAGCACATACTCCGTCAGACACGAATTCCATTGTGGCCAGCCAGAAGGCGAATGGAGATGTACTAGTTGTTGCAGCTTGCAATTTAAACTAACTGACTTCTAAAACTCAACTCGATCTACATAATTTGTTGATATATGCGTTTGTCCCTCAGTTGCTAAGTACACAATTTTTCCGCAATTGGTTTAGAAGTAATATTCATGTTTTCTTTTGATTTTATTTGTAAAATTGCAACAAAGTCAACAATTGTTGCACTTGTCATGCTCATCAGAGTCAGTCATTTTCACGCATTCACGTTCACTTCACATCATCTCAC